GACGGAAACGACGAGCCTAGTCCGGCCGAGTGGCCTGCAGTGTGCCGCCCCCATGGGAAGGAAGCCCGCCCCCCGCCCCCGCCTCCCCCGGATGACCGCAAAAGCTGGCCAACATGTTGGGGCCGACAAATTGACAGCAAGCTCGAGGCTGGCCAAGGCGGGGGCGGCGTCCTCGCGTCCACGCGGCCGCGGCTCGGCTGTCTTGGCTCGCTACCAGCCGGTATCTCACGGCGGAAGTTCGTCGCCGTGCCTCGGACACGGCCTCCACGGCCGTTCCCGGGATCGTGCGACCCTAGCACCTGCCTAGCGCCTGCCGGGTAGGCAACACTTCGATGCCGGTGCGTCGCGCGGCCGCCCGTTGCCTATCTCACAGGGGACTGGGTAGGCAAGCCCGCCGCACTGCGCTGCGTCGCATGGCCCTCCGTTGCCTACCTCACAGGGGACTGGGTAGGCAAGCCCGCCGCGCCCCGGTGCGTCGCATGGCCCTCCGTTGCCTACCTCACAGGGGACTGGGTAGGCAAGCCCGCCGCGCCCCGGTGCGTCGCATGGCCCTCCGTTGCCTACCTCACAGGGGACTTGGCACGCCGAACTGTAACACATTCTGCCTCCTCGTGACGTCACTCGCGGCACGTCGACGACGCCCAGGCTCCTTTCGAGCGATAAAGTAGTCGTCCGTCCGCAAAACTCTTTCCGCCGTCAGCACAGTCCGAGGAGTCCGAGAGCGAGTGTGTACATTCCGCGGTTTCGTCGGTTTTCCTTGCGCCTGTGCAAATCGTGCTAAGCGAAGATGCGGCGTTCCGGCGGTGTTGGCCGCCTATTTGTGGCGTACACTTTAGAGACTTGGAGACGGCCGTCCGTGCGGTGGAGTTGACAGAGCGACTGCCGGGGCTTTTCCCCCGCACTGGGGGTCTTTCTCGTTTCCAAACGCCCGTCTGCCGGTAATTATACACGCGTTTCATACTCGGGCCGGAATCCGGTCCGAAGCCACCCACGAACACCCAGCCGGGCCGGCGGCCGGTCAGGCCGGCTGAAGTTCAAGTTCAGGGCGAGGCAAGGAGACGGCGAGGACGACGACACAATAAGTCGATTCCAATCCCTCTCGCGACCCGCGGCGCCAACAGTGGCCGCAGCACGGCGGCGACGGCGAGGACCGTGCCAAAAGCGGCCGCCCACGCACGCAAGCACGCGCCGCGGACTCGGATGAAAACCCGCACTGCAAACCGAGACGCCGGCGCCACGGCCTTCGACGTCCACCTCGCCGGTGGCGGGGAAAACCTCCGGCCCGAGAGGCGGCCGTCTGTGCTTGACGGCGCCGCGGTTGCGTGGCTTCCACTCGGTCGCGGACTCGCCAACCTATGGCATACGCAATGAGTGGCGGTGTTTGCCGCGCCCGTTAGGACGTCGTTCGGGGAACAAAGAGACGCTGGACACAGCCATGGGTTGCCACTTGTAAGCCTCGTCTCCAGCGCAACGCCAAACAAAAATTGGCGAAAACCTGCTTTATTTTGCGCGTGGCGTTCCTACCGCTCTCGCTGTCCGAGATATTGACACCGCAACTCGGAGCTAGCTCCGCTCTCTTTGCATAAACCGCGGCCTTTTCCGTATTCCGAGACACGGCCGGTCCATTCGCGCCTCGGCGCGTGCCGCGCTGCCTGCGCGCGTGACGACGCGGTCACGTGGGCCACGCCGCTGTCTCTCTCGCACCGGCACGGGGCGCACCGCGAGTGCGAGAGAGACAGAGCAGCCTCGGGAGGCAGGGCGTTGCATGCATCGCGGAGGCGGGGCGGGGCGGTGCTCCAGCAGTACGAACGGCACACGCCTGCAGATTGATTCCGAGAGTCGCTCTCTCTCTCTCTCTCTCTCTCTCTCTCTCTCTCTCTCTCTCTCTCTCTCGCACCTACAGGGGCCGCACCTACGTGCGAGAGAGAGAGAGAGCGACGAAGTCCCCTTGGCGGTGGCCTTTCCAGCCTTTCGCGGTCGCCTCCAAAGTCCCCAATAACGGGCCATACATCACGGGCGTGCGCTCGCGCGTGCTTTCTCCAAACGGAAAAGACGCGCCAAATAGCGCGACGGACGCCGCGAGGAACACCGCGACGCCGGGCGGAAAAAAGCCGTCGCCGTCGACCACTTGACCCGCGTGACGGCGACGGGGACAGGGCCAAATAAATTTATCAACGGGCCGTGCCGGCCGGGTGTTTTCTCTCAGTTACGGCCGGTCAGGGGTTCTGGTTTCGTGCCTGACGTCGTCGCCGTCGCCCCGCCGGCCGAGGCGAGGGCCTCGACAAGGGCGAGGCGGAGGCATGACCTGAGGGAGGGAGAAGCGTCTTGGAAGGCAGACGTGTTATGACGCGACCACGGCCAGTCCAGAGCGGTGCTTTCGTCGCGCTGTCTCTCTCGCACTGGTGAGGCGTCCCGTGAGGGCGCGAGAGAGACAGCGCGACCGAGCGTTCTGAATCGGTTCACGGATAGCCTCCCCTCATCTATTTTTCCCGTCGAGCGTAAACTGACCAAGTAAACCAACCTGCTCCACGCGGCCGCCTAGGCCGGCCAGGCTCCCCTGCCCGTCCGTCCGTCCGCCCCGATTCCGTTTTGTTTTCGGTTCACTTGTGTTTGAAAACGGGACGCCGCGCTGCCCCGCGCCTCCTCTGGGAAATCCAGAAATAATCTCGCTTTCTTTTGAGATGACGGTGGTGACTTTGTCCGGCTCCCAAATGCCACGCTGCAGTCTGCACGGCCCCAGGCTGGTCGCTTCGTCGCTCTGTCTCTCTCGCACTCACGCGCGACGCCCCGTGAGTGCGAGAGAGACAGAGATGGCTGGAGGATGCACCGCGGTCCTGGCGGTCGTCACGAGCGCGACCTTTGCCAGGGCGACACGACGCCCGACCACTGTCCGGCGGCAACGCCGAGGCAACGCGGCAGCGGCCACTTTTACTTCCAAAACGGTGTATGAGAAATTCATGAAACAATGTCCGAGTCGGGCGCCGCTGCGACGAGGCTAACCTAACGGTGTCGGGGGAAAGGAGGATTTGGTGGTGTGAGTTATTGGGATCGAACAAGCATCGTGCCACCGTGGTGCCACCAAAGTGGTCCAGGAGTGACAGGCGATCCCTCAGGGTGGCCCCGCCAGCGTCCCGAACTGGGGCCGCCCTCTCTCTCTCCCTCTCGCTCGGCACGGCGAGCACCAGGAATGCCCGGCGCACCGCGGCTAGACGTCTCCTGGATTCGGACGGGGACGGCCTCCGCCAGAGCGGCGCTACCGACACCGTGTCATGCGAATCGAGGCAGCCGCCATAGTCGCGATGGACAACGCGGGGCTCCGTGCAGGTGCGAGAGAGACAGAGCGACCGAGCACCGATCGGAATCAGTCGCCCTGGCGGCTCGGGGCTGACAGCCGGTGGGCCGCGTCCAAACTAAGTTTCCCAATCCGCGGCCGGCTGTGCTGGCTGTGCGCTCGCGGTGCGCGCTGTCTGCGCCGCTAGAAGCAGTGCGTGGGCTGGACACGAGTTACGCAAAGCGGGCGAGCAATGAACCGAGCGACACGTCTTGTGCGCGAGTGCGCGCCCCGCCTCGCGAAGGAGTGCGACAAGGACAAGGCGTGTCATGCCGAGAACGGCAGGGCCGGGCACGGCGCTCCGGGCCCTTCGCGAAGTGCGGCCCGGGGACGCGTGCATGGACGAGGACGGCGACGGCCTCGCGGTTACGAAGTACCGAGTACCGCACCCTCGGCGCTGTTGGCGTTGGCGCGGGTTCAACTCCCGCCCGTATCGCTTCTGAGAATCTGCCGTGACAGCAGCACGGCGCAGGATTTTCCACGGACAAACGTTCAAAAATAATCTTTCAAAACGCTTTTCGAAAGGTTGATCCCGTCGGGCGTCGGACGTGGCCGTCATGGTGAAAGTGGTGGCGACTTCCTGATCGGATCGCGGCGTGCGCAACACTACACTACACCTTCTCTCGATGACAAAAGAAAACGAAACCGGCACACACACTCACGCAGAGCAGACAGGCCGGCCGGCCGGTCAGGCCGGTGAGAGGACCGGGAGGACCTACAAGTCCAGCCCGAGCGACGTGCCGTGACGCGGCGTGACGCGCCATGGCAGCACCGTGGACGTGCAGTACGGGCTCGGCCGCGCTGACGTCATCCGCGCTGTCGCTCCGTCTCTCTCGCACCCCCACGGGCCCGACGGCGCGCCGCGCGAGAGCGAGAGAGACAGAGCGCTGCTCGGAAGGAGGCGGCTGCTTCCAGCTGGTTCCATCGAGCTCCAGCTGGTGGCCGGCAACGGGCCGGCGCTGCCCCAAGGTGCCCCACTGCACTGCCGTGGCACTGCCGTCCGTGACGACGTGACGAGACGAGCCTCGTCGATACCCCGGTCAATCGGAAGGCGCTATCGTCTGTCGCCGCGTCGCTACTCCACGCGCGCGGCGCGCCATGCTAATCTTGTGGACAGACAGACAAACCACACGCCGGGTATCGACAGACGGAACGAATCCAGGGTCACCGAGAGACACGCGAGAATGGCAAACAGTGTGGCGTTCGCTTCAGTCTTTAGCAAGCCGGCCGCTAAGAGGTGCAATCATCCCACTGCACTGGACAAAGAGCAGACGATTGCGGCCAGTAGCTGCGGGGCGCGCTCCATGCCTTTCTGAGCTTCGCCTTGCTTTTGCACTTCTTTTTCATCCTCTCATTAATCTTGTCTACCTCGAGACGAGTTTTCGCCTCCAAATCCGGGATAGCGTCTTTATTTACAAACTAAATGAGGAGCTTTTTTATGGACTGGAGCACATGGCGAGCTAGAGTACGGTAGAAAGCTTCCCCCAACAATCCCACAAAAAGGCGTACCGGTTGGCGGCGTGGGCGTTTTTAACGACCAGCGCCAGGGACCCGTCAACTGATAAGCCGATCGCTCGGTATGAAAAATAAACGGCGCTCTCGCACGACAAAGGAGGTTGCGGCTCCCCGACCGGCGAGGATAGACCAGAGAGAACGTCACTTTGCTCACCTCCGCAGCTCAGCTGCTTTGCAATCCAAGTCAGCGGCGTGCAGCACCGCTAAATCCAGTGACACACACACACACGCACACACGCCGTCACGCACGCAAACTATCACGCGTCGGCACTACCACTACGTCGGGCGGCGCGCGCGGCACACCTGGTCTGGTTGAACGCGTCGGAAAGACTGAAACTGACTCACCCACCCACCGACCGTGCGTTGTGTTGCTTGGAGTTGTGCCCTGCCCCCTCCGCCCCGCTGCCCGTTGCCCCGCCCCCCTCCGCCGCGCGGCTGCCTCTCAGCCTGCACTCCACGCGCCCCACCCGACTCCTTCACCTCATCAACAACAACAACAACAGCACGCTGCTGCTGCCGGCGCGCCCAGCCACGGCCCGGCAGCGCTGCGCGAGCGCTAAGCCCCAGCACACCTCCTGCGTCAATTAAACAGATCGTGATTATTCCGTGGGGACGACAAGCGGGCTTTGAAAACGGAGAAGGGGGAGGGAAGGAGCTTAGCCGGGCAAACGAACGACGGAGACGGATCCCGCCTGACCCCATGTATCCTTTCACCTTGTGCTCGGCTAGGGGATCAGGACCGGTAATGCCTGGTGTACCACTGGTGTACCAGCTGCGGGACGCCGCCACGCCGCCGCCTGGCAGGCTTGGTGGAAAATAAAACTCCAGCCCGGCCAGGTCGGTGACCTAACCAAACCTAACCTAACCAAACCTAACCAAACCGATGTTTTGAAGCCCAGCAGGACAGGCAAATGGGCTGCCGTCGCCTGCAGTCTTCACGGAGATTAACGTGACTCAAGTGCCGGGTTCCCATAAACCCGTTATCGATGGGACTTATCGACATCCGCCCTCCGCGCGTTAGCGGCGTTGGCGCGACGGAAAGATGTCAAGAGCGCCCGCCAAGTTGGTGGTTCTGGGAACGGAAACAAAGAGGTTACTGCGGGTTGTATCGGCGGTGCTCCGCGAACAGCACTGGTGCGCGGGAAAGGGGAAGTCGGAAACCCTCTGCTTCGGACGAAAGCAGTTCTTCTTCATCAGAAGAATTAATTAAAACTCGCTGGTAGGGAGGGGGGGGGGCTGATCAAGTGAAACGGCGCCACCCGAGCCACCACGGGGAAGGCCTCGGGGAAGGCCTCGGCCGGGACGAGCGGCGGCGCTGAGGCGGGCCTGGCAGAGGCCTGGCGAGCAGAGGCCGGGCAGACAGCCGGTATCAGTCCCCCAGTCCCCAACAGTGTGCAGGATCCAGGCCGACCCGAAAGGCAGGCCGGCGAACAGCGTTCCGTACTTCAAGACGCCCTACTTGGCGAGCAGGCGGAGCGTCTCCACAGCCCGCCGCCCCGGCGCCGTTTCCGACACCTCGGCGATAAGCGGCCGAGTTGTCCAGTCCGAGAGGCCGCGCTTGTAAGTTTACAAACCAGGAAGTCGTCAGTAGTATAGATGCCCCAGGTAACCCGCCGCCATCTTGATTGGGCATCTATATACTACTGTCGACCAAAACGACCGCTAGTTGGCGAGGGCGAGGGATTCACCTGCGGCCAGAGCTGCCGGTGAGCGGCGTCGCTGTGTCTCTCTCGCACTCGCGGGTTGTCCCGCTGGGGTGGGAGAGAGACGGAACGACGAGCAGGGCGTGGCGCCGCCGGTGCCGCCAAGGACTCGCGGCGGCCCGGCCCGGCATGGGTATGGGTACTCGCTGTCATGGCGGCAATTTCACGGTCCGCGGCTCATCGCGAGGGCGCGGATGGCTCGTCTGCAAAACGGACACATCCAGAGGCAGCGAGTCCGGCTGGGTCACACGCCGCCACACGGCCACGCCACAACGCCAAAAACCCGACGGACTCCAGGCCGTCAAGACGATGATGCGGCAACGGCAGCAACGGCACGACGGATCGGAAACGAGTCTCGCCGGAATGCGTCTGGTGCAAGTGTCCCGGCGCGCATTGTGAGCGCGTGTGTCTGTGTGCGTGTGTGAGTGAGGCACCTGAGGCTCGCTGGGATGGCTTGGCGTCGTCGCTGCGTTCCGAGAAGCATGCCGTCGTGGCGCGCATGACCGGTTGCAGCGCGAGGTATCAGAACAGGCAGGCAGTCTGCTTGGCGAGGTGGGCCGCGGGGCGGGGCGGGTCGCGCGGGGCGCTGCCAGTCTGTGACTCATTTTCAGTTTGTCATTCGCCGCACCGCCACGCCGCGTCGCTTCGCGGTCTGGGCGGCACGCCTCGCCGCCGGCAAGTAGTGCAGTAAGTGGCAGTCCGCGACAGTCGTCGCACTACTGCCAACCTGAACACCGGCGTGACAAACGGCCCAACCTAACCGCGGCAAAGTCAAGGACCTGCTGCTGCTCTTAATCACCGGCGTATTGCTAGCTGCGTGGCACTGTCTGGGGCACGATTTGGGCCCCAGAAGGATGCCGCGAACACGGGAAGCCACGCCGCGGCGTGTTTGCTTTAGGTCTGTTTTCATCGTCGCGGTGCTGCTGCGAGGCCCGCGCACAATGCGGCTGATCGTGAGAGCGGGCGTGGCGTGGTGCGGCGGGGCGGGGCGGGGCGGGGCGCACCGGACAGATGACATTGCTCGCGCCAGGCCGTGCTCCGCCGCTCCGCCATGCAGGTGGGCGTGCCGCTCCAGCTCGGTCCCCTTTGCAGTCCCCTCTTGCTTCCGAAACGCGAACGCGGGCGTTCCAGGTTCACCAGCTCCGGCAAATCCGCTCGGAACCGTGCGACTTTCACAAGAAACAAATCTCCGAACGATAATTTCATCGTTGCCCGCAGGTGAACCTGGAGTGTCGAACGTGGACGACGACGTCGCCGCCCTTCTCGTTGGGATTCCCCTCACACGTGCGCGCTGGCCGCGCTGGCCGCGCTGCAGCGGAGGGAGTCCGAACAGACGTTTCGTCGCTGTCTCCCTCGCACCCCTGCGGTACGCCCCTTGAGTGCGAAAGAGACAGAGCGACGAAACGACTCTTCGCGTTCTCGGGCGGATGACACTCCAGACAATGCAGGCCAGGGCCCAAATCTCTTCGTCATTACATTTCGTGGGCCGCGTCGGCAGGGCGTGGCAGGGCGTGGCGACCCGGCATGGAAAGTGCACGCACCATTGTCCCCAGCGATGTCCCTCTCGGTCTCGTCTTGTCTGCGGCCTTGGACGACAGTGGAACAGTGATCAACTAAAATCACTCAAAATATAAATTCCAGACGTACGGTGCGGCGGCTGGTTCCGCCTGTTCCGCCCGGTCCGTAGGCAGCCCATCGTGCGCCCGTGCTGCGGGGGCAGAGTGAGAGAGTCGGTGAGGGGATTACTGGGCTACAAGACCGAAATGCGTGGCGATGTAATAAAAAGAAAAAGTTTATTCCAAGAGTCAAAGCTACAAAACTTGGTTTTGTGCCTTTTACAGTCCCCAAGAGCCATGCAGTACGCTACTTTTATTTCACGACAAAATCGCGTTCGACGCGAACGATGCTCTGCAAAGCTCTTCTCATTCTAATACACAACTATTCTCGATAAACAATACAGGGCTCTCGTCATCGCATAGTTTAACTACACGAATCTAACGAGAGCAAAACGTTGACACAGTTAAGGTGAACTTAGCATTATTGTCTGAAGTCACGCTGGTTTAAGTATTTCTGGTATAGAGCTCTACATGAAGTCGTCTTGCGACGGAAATTACAATGCTTAACAGGTATTCAACACAGTTCTCAATCACTCGCAGATATGCATTATTGTCATCAATAGACCTGCGCAAAACGCTCGTTTTCTTATTTTACACAATGAAATACATTAATAATATTTCAGGTAACGCAGGTAATACAGGTCGTTACATTTTGTAGAAACGCATCATTATTGTCTTCTGGCGCTATTTTATTTCTATTAAAATCGAGAAACTGACTATTAACAGTATACAAGATATGACCTTTCTTTATCTAAAGTTTAGCACAAAAAAATTAGTTTTATTGTCTTTAATCCAGACATATATATTTAAATCACTCGGCTACTAAACACCTTAATTTTCAATATATTTACACAGGGGTACTTTTGCTTATGGTACCGTTTTGTTGGCTTAAGAAAGTTACAAGTTCCGGACATAACCTTTTGAAAAACTGTTTCTAAAAAAGATTTTGAAAGCTTATTGATGGATATGTAAAGGACATATTTATTTGACCGATAGACAGTTATGAAATCAGGTCTGAATCACATTCGAATATCAGAATTTTGCATTGGAGTCAAGTAGATAAGATATGGCACTTCTTACATATTTACTTTCTTTTAGCCAAAGTCAAAGTGATACCAACAATTTCTATTTATGATGAAATAGTCTGCAGACATTACATGACTGAAAAAACCCAGAAATGATATGCCTCAAGAATACATTTTAATGATTTCTATTCGCGGCCGATCTAGTAAACTGTGATCGCTACATTCCATGTGGCATGCGTTTGCGTCTTACACTAATAAAGTTTATTGTCATTATCTCAAAAAAACACTACTAGTAATCAATATAAAACAGTAAGGCCATAAGGCTGCATAATATTATTGTCAAATTATACCTCTCAATACCTCAATATTACAAAAAGGAATAAGAAATATATTCCTTTGGGACAAAAGGCATCTTAAAATTTCTTGCAATGTAACAGATGAAACTTTTAAACTGAAAGCTCTCTCCAAGAAAGGGGCATTGACATCCAAAGTTGTCACTCATAATTGGACTTCATACTTGCATGTAAACAGCTTTGGGTGTCAATGTCCCATATTGTGCCAAAGAAATTAAACGGTTTTGGCATTTTAGTTTGATGAGGTAATGTCATTTTCTGGCATGTGGTAGGTTCAGCTACTACTTCCAGATAGAATAAGCACCATAACAAAGATTTAGCTTAGAATTAACATATAAATTGACCAAATTGCTAAATTGACCAATCAACATTTAACGCAATGCACATAAAACTCAACAACCACATATTCATAAATCTTGCTTATAACAATTTCTTGTACAAGAGTAATATTATATTTACAATAGGACGTAAAAAATTACAACACATCTAAAACATAGTAATGATGAATGTGTGACGACCACAAGCAATACTAAAAAACAATTTAAATAAAACTTCAAATTCATTTTACTTTCCTCACTCAGCCGATAACTAAAATGAAACCAACTGCCTCTTACATCACATATTGTCAAAGTCGTTCAAATTTTCGATTTTTACTACAGAGCCGACACATTAACAGAAACTTACGCCTATTTGAAGAAACCTTACCTCTAATAGTGAAAATTATTGTCACCAATTCAAAATATATCAACAAGTCATTATTGTCAAAGTTCCCACTGTTTTGGCACACGGACAGTGACGCACTTCCGGTTCTAGAGACTCCTTCCGGGCATTCCCTTGTCCCTTTTCGGGCGCCAACATTCAAAAAACCGCGCCCGCTTCGAGGTGCACCAAAGTTTGTCCGTATGGCCTGCGCCGTGGTACCAGCCACGCCGCTTACAGAGAACTACCCTCGGCAACAGGAACGACCCTGTCACTACCCCTCGCGCCAAAGGATGCCCGTTGCCATGGCGACTGCCTCTCGCGCACGGAGTAGCGACGTGTCACTCCCGCTGCCGCAACGATAGCACGCGGTCCTAGATAACAGTTTTCTTTACAGTGAGCACGGCGGCACTACTCGACCTGAAGCCTGCAGCCGCCTTCTTCTGAGTAGCCTTATCGAACATCACAATCGGGTTACTTATCAATACACAGCGGCACGCTTGGTGCTCATCTCGCGCAGGCGGCGAGGGCGGGCGACGCCATCGCCAGGGCCACCGCCAGGACGGCGACGAGGCCGAGGCTGGGCAGCGCGGCCGCGCCGGCCGACAGGTTCTTGCTGTCCCGCCGCGACTGGGAGCCGGCGTCCACCACGTGGATCTTCCAGCCCAGGTTGTTGTGGGTGTAGCACTGCGAAACAACGGGCGCGTGTTGGCCGGACACACACACTCACAAACACAACAGCGACTCTCTACACTCACCTGGTAGTACACCTCGTCGGGGGTGTCCGCCGCCACGGTCCAGTTGAGCACGGACGGCTCACCGTGGTCGCACTGCAGCGTCAGGGTCTTCTTGTAGTCCTCCAGGTTGTCAAAGTCCGCGTACCTGTCGACGGTCTGGTGCACCCACTCGCAGTACCGGCCGGCTGCAACACGGGAACAGCGAGTTAGTGGCGGGCATGATGTCTCTGGCGCGGGGGGTGTCGCCGCGTCGCCTCACCGGCCGTGGGGTAGGGGTAGCCCTCCTTGTCCGTGTCCACGCCGGCGAACACCCTCTGGCGGCGCTGCTCCTCGGCGGGCCGCTGGCCGTAGCCGCCCTCGGGGCTGTCCGTGATGTAGAAGGGGTGGTAGCGCGCCGGGTTGGTGCTGTCCTTGCCGCCCTCTACGAGGAAGGTGTAGGTCTGGCCGCGCTCCACCGTGATCTCGGGGATGAGTTTGTCGTTGATCCACCAGGCGATGCCCCAGGACGGGTGGCCCGTGATGGGCGTGTAGCCGCGCTTGCCGCCCGCCGGCCCGATGCGCGCCGTCAGCGTGTTCTCGTTGTGGATGGTCTGCGTGGGCCACGGCGCCAGCTCGTTCTCCTCCTGGTTCGTGTACAGCGAGTTGGTGCACTGGTGGTCGTTGCGCCGCGAGAAGTCGATGCGGATGTCCTCTGCAACAGGAATCGAATCGCAATGTGAATCGGAATGCTACCGCCTGCCGGTCCGCGGTCCGGCCTCACCCTCAGCTTACCGGTGGTCTTGTCGGGCGCGGCGTGGCTGTTGGCCTCGTTGCGCGAGTTGAGCGGCCCGATGGCGGCGATGACGTTCACCTCGCCGTGCCGCGGGATGACGCGGTCCTTGATGGGCTCGTTGGTGACGAGCGGCCGTGTGTAGCGCACCGTGAGCACGCCGTTGCGCCGCTCCGCCGACTTGAGGATCACGTCGTTCTGGCCGCCGATGCGCTTGTCGGGGCACACGCCATTACGGCCGTCGCACTGCGGGCAGCACAAGCAGGGTCAGATCCCGGTGGCGGTCGACGGCCAGGTCGGCGGGGTGCCCGTCGTCACTCACCTGCGCCGTGGCGGACATGTAGTAGTCGTCGGCGTGGAAGATGGCGGCCTTGGCGTCGTAGTATGCCACCACCACGTCGCCGCCTACCATGGAGGCCCTACGCAGACAGCCGCTTAAAAGGGTGAAGCTAGCATGTTGCAGCATGGATCGCAGCAACTCAAACGCTGTTGTTGTTTCACTTAGTTGAAACGCGTTTTAGTTGAAAAGACAACATGGGGATACAGTACACTTTTGTTTCGAAGAATGCTTGTATTATTCAGCCACTACAATACAACACGTGTTACAGAGTGTCTACAGGGAGTCCTGTGTGGTTCACAGCAGCCGCAGCGCCCGCGGGCCGGGGGCTAGGCAACCCAACTCGCTCGGTGGCCTCCTGGACCTGGCCTGCCTTTCCCTCTCGCTCGCCCCCTCTGCTGCAGTGCGGCCCGGGAAAGGAAGGGAGGTTCGCACAATGGAGCTGAATCTGCTCGGCCAGCACTTTGGGCTACAATGCCCCCGCATGGCGCCCGGCGTAAGCGTGGCGGCGAAGCGGCCTCCATCCCCTGCATGACGGCCAGCAGGGCCAGAGCGGCCAGGGCGAGGCGCGGTACGGCACTCGCCAGGAAAAGCTTGCCCCGCACGACGCGCACACACACTCGCAACCCCTTCCCCCAACTGTCGACGCGGCGGTGCGGAGCAACGGACGAATTTTGGGTGGAACTACCCCGCCGTGAAAAAAATCTCATTCAACGAACGTTAATGAAAGCAGATGATACGGGGTGGTATGAAGGTATCATCTGCTAAAAACAAGAAGACTTGTTCGTGCTGCGGTGCGAACCCCATCCTCCTCCTTCTCCTTTGTGGTTTGGTCTACCGCCTCTGTCTATCCTCTGCTCCTGCCTATCGTCTATCCCGGTCTATCCCGCTGCGCGCGGCGGTACGAGCGGCGCGGCGGTGCTCGGCGCCAACCGGGCAACGCTGGTGTGCGCCAGTCATTGTCCAGGTGGCGTCCGCCAGGCTGCCTACAACAAGCCTGCAAACACTGCGCGTCACTGCCCCGTCACACCGAGGGCCTCGTACACTGGTAAAACTGAAGCAGGACACTGAAAACAGGACCAGAACCGAACGTGTGGCCTCAACAATGGATTGCTCTTGGAACTTGGAATGCATCGGTGGGGTCACACGCTCGGTTCTAGTGCCATTCAGCGACTCTGGAGCTCAGAGCCCGTCCGGGATTTTGAACGCCTCCACCGGACTTCTGGCCCACTGTGGCCTCCACGGGGTGCTCACCTGCCCTGCTCGCCGCTCAGGCCGAAGGCCACGTACTGGTCCTCTCGGATGCGCGCCGAGAGCTGGATCTCCACCAGGTCGTCGTGCATGCTCCACTGCACCTGCACGCGCTCGTCCAGCATCTCCCTGCAGTTGCTGAGTGGCTCGGCGCTGTCCGTGCCGCGGTCCGGCGACGACGTCTGCAAGCAAGACCGCCGTCACATCGCGCTGCCGGGGGAGGGTGTGGTGGGGGAAAGTGTGCGGGAAGAACGCATCGGAAAATGGTCAAGAAACGCCTCGGAAAATCAGGAAAATGGCAGCCGTCACAGTCTACACAGGATAACGGGAAAAGTCAGTCGGGTTCAATCTAGTCAAAGCAGTAATGAAAAAAAAAGTAAATAAAACATGCTCAGGTACGGCTTGTATAGCTCAAACAACAAACAGAAAAAAAAATGATCAAAAATAAAAGTGGTTGGATATGATTTTTGGTTTATTTTTCCGTGGGCAACAGCGAGGCAAGTTGGAGTTGCAGCTTGCGCTTTCTGATCCCGCCGTACTTACAGGATTGTACCACCACTCAGGCTGTGGCGTCCGCGAGAAGCAGCAAAGGAACAAAAAACAAGCTTGGTTACATCTATTAGCCAGCAATGATATTTGACAGTGTGCTCCAGACAGGGTAGGCCAGAACGCAGCGGGCGCCTTTCTGGCCTACCCTCCACTCGACTTTCGGCAGCAGAGGCTTCGAAGAGAGGCAATACGCATGCCAACAGGAAATGAGGAAGTGCAAGGCTGGCAAGGCGTCCTGGAAGGAAGAAGCAAAGACCCGCAAGGATGTTTGACCGGGAAGCCACGTCACCACGTGACTCAATGTGGAGAGGGAATCAGATTTGATAAACGTGGAAGAGAGTCTCCAACCTCGAAACCTGAAACTGACACCCAGCAGCTCAAGATTCACGTACCTGCAAAATTCAGTCATAAAAAAGCACCTACGTTGCTTGGTTCATAAGATGCTAGAGCGGAGCAGCTTTTTTGAGCTGTAGGCTAGAGAATGGGTGTATTTCTCTCTTAAAGTTCATAAACTTTAATGGGGTAAACTTTATTTTGTATCAGTAGTCGTATCCTGCCACCTGTAGCTACACAAACCATTGTTAAAGAAACGCGGATATGTGGGTCAATAATACTACCGTGGCTGCAACAATATAAAAGCCACATTTCTCGAACAAAACAACAGTCCGCCACTGTCTCCCGGGCGTTCTATCCCTTTCTCTTGTTGCCGCCGGGCCTGCGCCTGCGCGACCCCTGAAATGCAAACACGTTCCGACGGGAAAACGCGCAAAGTTAAAACAAGGACATCATCGGGACTCACGCTCAATTAAAAGTCAACTTTACCGGAAAGCGAAGCGAAAATTTGAACTTTACCGTGATCTTGGTCTGGCCTAGCGCAGGCGGCACGTCCAGGTCCTTGGGGATGTTGACGTGGCCGAAGTTGTGGTGGTAGGTGACGCACCACATGGCCAGCCAGTCGATGTCGTACACGGTGATGTTCTCGGGCAGCTGGATCTCGATGTCCTGGCCCTGGTAGCCCTTGAGCGGGTCCAGCCTGGGGGACAGACACCGACATCAGTGAGCGGGGAACTAAAACAGCGCATACAGGACAGCCCCAAAATTATAGGCCTTGAATTTTGGACTTTGTCCGATCGCCTCCCCCAATCGAACCGTCATGTGTTTGATTTTGCAGACCTAAAAACGTTGTCTGCCGCTGCCATCGTGTCCGCTTGAGCAGGCCCGCTGGCCCACTGTGGAGTGGGGGACGTTCCTAGCCGTCTCATCGCGGTGCATAAATTAATCCGCGCGGGACACGGCGCTGAGCCGGGGCTGCCGGGGCCGACCAGGGCCGGGACGGCGGATGTGGAAAAGCCGACGGAGATACATCCCCTCAGCCCGATCGGCAGGGATTATGTTGACATGAGCGGGAGATCTGACGAGGCCTGCACCCTCCCTCCCACCACCAACCCTCCCTCTTGTCTGCTCAGACCGCGCCAGGCCACGCCAAGCCGCGCCTCAACCCCTAAACTGCCCTTGATAGTGCACGCAGACACACACACACACACACACAGAGAGAGAGAGAGAGAGAGAGAGAGAGAGAGAGAGAGAGAGAGAGAGAGAGAGAGAGAGAGAGAGAGAGAGAGAGAGAGAGAGAGTCGTGTATTGTTCCGGCGCCCTGCTCAAACACCCGTTCTGATGCCGCGAGGGGAAAGAGAAGAAAATTCGACGGCAGCGCGGCTGGAATAACTGGTCCGTTTGCTGTTTGCTCCGAGATTGATCCTGGAGGCACTGGAAGTGGAGCCACGCTGGAAGGCGCTGGAACGAGGCGCTGGAAGGGCCCTCAATGCCGCCCAATGCGCGCACCGTCCGGATGTGGCGCGCGCTGCATACGCAATGGCGGCGGACGGGCCGGGCCGGGCCGCCCTCAGAGCCAAGCAGCCCCCCCGCTTCTTTGCATTGCGGGCTGGCTGCAGCGACGGGCGGAAACTCGGAGCCTCGGCGAGGAAGTGAGTCACAAAGAGAGAGACTGCTCCAGGATCCCAGACGCGCTGCCCCGCAGTCCCCGACCTCGCCGTCGACGACGGCGTCCTTCTACTTACTTGCCGACCTCGTTGGGCACCTTGATGCCCCAGGGCCCCGGCTCGGTGCCGTTGCCCACCCAGAAGTAGGCGTCCGGGGCCGCGCCGTCGTAGTGCAGGTTGGGGATGTAGATGGTGCGCGCGTCCAGGACGGTGATGTTGCCGGAGCGCAGGCCGTGCGCCAGCCGCTTGAACTCGGACAGCACGCGCGGCTTGGGCGCCTGCAGGTTCACGGGGATGAACACGTCGCCGAAGTTGACCTGCGGGGCAAGGACAAGTCAGAGGCGTGCGAGGGGCGCGTTCCGCGCTGCGCGTCGGACGCCGTGCTGCTATGCAGTCCCGCCGACGCGGCTGCATGCGGGCTGCCCGCCCGCCGGGCGCCATTGCCCCTTACGGCGGCCGCCGGGTAGGCAGTCCCGTCGCGCAGCCGTGTCGGCGGACTGCATAGCAGCACGGCGTCCAGCCTGCGTTCTTCCTCCAGCCAGTGGCTGCTCGTCTGCTCGCCGTCCTGCCCAACGGTAGGCCGTGATAATGGAGCCTGCTCGGCCCCCCTCCCCTCCCCTCCCACTGGCCGACTTCTTCATTTCCTGATTCCATTCTATCCGCGCCATTGACGCCGCGCCGCACCACGCCGCCACCCGCCGGCCGGGGCAGCGCGGGGCAGACCGAGGGTGGACGGCCAGGACGGCGCGGGATGTGGCGAGGCGTGGGATCGAATCGCGCCGCCGGCCGCACTTTTTCCCCTCCGCCTCGGCCGTCTTCTCTCGGTGGGGCCCGGGCGCAAACCGCGCTCGGTACTACCTGGCTCCCCGCCCCGCCACCTCGCCGGGACGCCCCGCAAGGGACGCGTGCTTTGGGGGCGGCCCCTCCCAAGAACCTCGGCCGGGGCCAAAGAGGAGAGGCAATGGTACCGAACCGGAGAGAGGGGCGTAAGCTGGAGAGACTATAGCCCGGACGGGAGTAAGACGCAAGACGCGGCTGGCGGGGGGCTGCCTCATGCCGAGGCATACCCCCGAGAATATCGGCCGGCACAGCCACGGCCTGGCAAAAAACGCATTGTCGGTCCGCTGCTGCATCCGTGTGACAATAATCGGTTGAGTGATGACGTCACGCTCTCCGCCGCATCCTTGTTGCGGGCCTCGCGTTTGGCCGCACGCCCAAGGTGGGAGGGGTGTGCACCCTGTGCACGCCGCGCGCACCGCGCACCGCCCATTGTCGGGGCGAAGCTCGCCGGAGCGAAGCTCACTGGAGTGTGACAACGCGGCGAACGGCGCGAACACGGCGCGCATTGTGCCTACCCCTTCCCGCACGCGCGTGCACCACCGTGACGCCCTCCGTGACGCCCTCCGTGACGCCCTCCGTGACGCCCTCCGTGACGCCCTCCGTGACGCCCTCCGTGACGCCCTCCGTGACGCCCTCCGTGACGCCCTCCGTGACGCCCTCCGTGACGCCCTCCGTGACGCCCTCCGTGACGTCCTCCGTGACGCCTCCGTGACGCCCTCCGTGACGCCCTCCGTGACGCCCTCCGTGACGCCCTCCGTGACGCCCTCCGTGACGCCCTCCGTGACGCCCTCCGTGACGCCCTTCGAGCCGCCCGGGCCTCGCGGCGGGGCGGTGGAAACAAAGAGGAAACGCTGTGACGCGCACCGCGAGCCACGGCGGCGGTCCCAGTCCCAGGGGCGGCCAGGTTACAACATCCGCCAAAACAAGGCGCCACGGCCACGGCCGCGCCGCGCGCTTCCTGGAACTGCCGCCAGAGAGCGCGCGAGAGACGCGTCGGGCGGACGCTTCGCCCCGCGACGCTCCACAAGCAGCAGCTCTAGCAGGCCGACGGCTGCAGCCCTGGAATCCTTGAAATAATCGACTTTACCGACCCCCCTTCCCCACCCCCTCCCCCACCCCCGGCCTCTTCCCTGCCACGCTCCCAGCGCTCTGTGCTTCAAACGACCAATAAGCCCCTTTAAAAGCGGCGGGGAGGGGGCGAGGCTGCGAGCTGGCCCTCCCCTACTACGTACTCTACTACTGCGTAGTACGCGCCGCCCCGCCACGCTCCGCCACGCTCCCCGCGCTACGCAGTGGCCCCCACGGGGCGCGCAGAGCCCGGCAGAGCCGTGGCTCCGTTCCAGGTTCAAAATAAAGGGTTGCCGCCCTCTCCCGGCCGCCGGCGGGCTGGCGGTGCCCGACGCGGGCCCTGCCAATTCCTGGCGCTGTGTGTGTGCATGTGTGTGCGTGTGGGCGGCCCGCCTTTTTGCGTTTTCTTCTCCCACGCGGGAAAATGGCGGTCGGACGGTTTCATTCTTTTCGTCGGAAAGAGGGAGAGAGTGCGCCGCGGGTACGGACGGTCTAGTCGGAACGTTTAACTGTCAGGTTCCTGATCGATGGAGCCGGCAGGCAGGGAGGCAGGCAGGCAGGCAGGCAGGCAGGCAGGCAGGCAGAAAGGCAGGCAGGCAGGCAGGCAGGCAGGCAGGCAGGCAGGCAGGCAGGCAGGCAGGCAGGCAGGCAGGCAGGCAGGCAGGCAGGCAGGCAGAAAGGCAGGCAGGCAGGCAGGCAGGCAGGCAGGCAGGCAGGCAGGCAGGCAGGCAGGCAGGCAGGCAGGCAGGCAGTCTGGCAGGCGGCTGGCAGTGCGCCGAGCTGCGTAGGCAGTACAGAGGAGCGGCGGACACGGTGGACGGTCTACCTGCAAACGGCCTGCGCGTCTCGGATCTCGGAGCCAGCGACGGGGCTTGGGGCGCGGGGAGAGGCAAACGCGGGATTCGGGATTAAATTTCTGTTTCGAGCGCGCCCCGCTTCCGGGCCGTCTCCGAAACGAGTGCGTCGAGGACGGTCGAGGAAGTTGCGCCCATTCCAGCGGAGCTCTCGGCGTAATCGGGAAACTTGGGGCGTCCGTCATGCGCCGCGTGCGACCGTGCCTCGGCCGTGCCTCGGCCGTGCCGTGGCCGTGCCTGGGGCGGGCGCCGCGTCGCCAGGACGACGGCATCCTTTAGGGCCTCCACGGCGTTGCCGCGGCCCATCTGTCTGCAGCGCCGCGGAGTGTGTCGCCCCAATCACGGCGTCGTGGTGCGTGCTCCAGGACGGCGGCACGGCGGCACGGCGACGCCATGACGGAGGGGCTGCCATCCCTCGCTGTCGCCGCCGGGGCCGAGCGGGGCGCGGCCCTGCGGGGGGCGGCGGCCAGAACGAGGTCGACGCCGAGGTCCTCCAGAGCCTCGTCCAGAGCACGGTGAAGACGCGGCAATGAGTCCAGGCCAGACTTAATCAACGGCCAGCGAGGCCGGCGAAGGCCAGCCAATCCGGGATGAAGCCGGAGTGCAGTCAGAGCTAGCGCAGCCGCAGCCGCGCGGGGCCGTGCTGCCATGGCAGCTGCCCCCGGAGGGGCCCCCGGCGGCGCGCTAGCCCCGCCCCCGGCGCCACCCCGCATGCGCGAGGCCCTGCTCGGCCCCGCCCCCACCGCGCGCCGCCACGCCGCGGGAAGGCCGGGCCGGGCCGCCCTGGCATTCCGGCAACCGGTCGATACAAATATTGTAGCAAACCGCACCGCAATGCTCTGCTGGCTCTGCTCCGCCAGGCTCCGCTCCAGAGGGGCTGCTGCCCAGCCGCGGCGGCGGAGGCTTGACAAACGTTTAAAATCCGTTCCGAACGTGAGCCGCAGGCTCAGGGCGAGAGCGTGCGGCCTGCGGGCAGCCCGAGCTCGCGGTGCACCGAGGCTGTGGCGGGCTGGGCGTCGCTTGGCGTTCGGCGGAGAGCGCGGTGGGGCTCCAAGGCCGAGCCAAGGCGAGCCAAGGCGAGCCAAGGTCACCCGGAAAACGTCCCGCCGCGTCCTCCGCCCTGTGGCCTTCCCTCCACCCTCGGCCCTTTGTTCACCGAGGACCGTGGACCACTAATTAACATGTCAGTCAGGCGCGCGCCCTCTTTCCTCTTTGCGTCGGCGCGTCGGCGCCAGCAAACAACATCTTCCTGCGCGACGGCCTTCCAGTCCGGTCACGGCACCGCTGGAGGAAAAGTGCCTGCTGCGGACGGCAGCCGACGGCGGAAGCATCCCCGGGCTCGGGTTCGGGGAGCATCGCATAAACCGACGTGGAGGTACTCGGTCGCGTCTCGCCGTGCTCGATTTGGCCAGCACTTAGCTGTCTCAGGTGGCGGCGTGCGTCCGTCCGCCACACTGTGTGCCGCCATTGCCTCGCTGCCGCACTGCGGGGAGCACGGTTAGCTCGTGTTTTGCACTTTTGCAAGGCTCGACATGATACTGAAACGCATGCGAACGTTTGCATCTCAGCCGCAAAGCTCGCCATGCAACCGAGAGAACTGCAAGGCAATGCTTACGTCGTGCCTTGCAGATCCGCACCCAATGCCTTGCAAAGGTGCAAGGACCGCTTTGCCGGTCCCGCAAGGAATGGAGTGCGGTCTGCCCGGGTCTGCCTTGCAAAAGTGCAAGGCAGCCCTCACACTCGCACAAGAAAAATGCAAGGGACACCTTGCGATCCGGGTTGCAATACTGCAAGGCAGCCCTTGCACTTCCATTGCAAGGCACGCTTCCCGATGCGCCTCTTCCTCCTCATCTTCTCTTCATGGAGCATGCCCCAAAGGGCTGATGCGCAACTGGGTGGGTGGAATCGAACCCCGGTCCTGTAGCTTCGTAGCGCGGACGCTTACCCCGAGACTACAGGACTTGTCGAGGTTCCGACGGCGCCGTACTCCACATGGCCCGAGCGCGCCGGAGGGGACAGCTGCTGCGTGCGATGGTGGGGGTAGCCTTGCAGTCAAGACGCAATGGTCTGCTTGCACTGTTGCAGGGCAAGCCCGAGGGCAAGCCGCAGGCCGAGGCATGCGGAATCGCAAAGCAGCCTTTGCATTACCGCAAGGGACGGCCTGCATCGTCGAAGTGCGGATGGGCTTGCAATTCTGCAAGGCCTTCCATGCGACTGCGCAGGGCAAACCTTGCGTTTTGCACCGTTCTGCCTTGCAGAATCGCAAGGCGGGAGACAGTGCAATGAATGCCTTGCGTTTCTGCAAGTTTTTACTTGCAATTATAGGAAACGCATACACCACGCTAGGTGTTCCTTGCGAAAATGTCATTTGCAAATCGAAATGCAAGCCTTGCCTTGCATTTTGCCTTGCACTTGGCCGAATCGCAAAAGGCGGGACCACAGTGAGGGGCGGGGAGGGGCGGGGAGGGGGCTGTTATCAGTGCGACGCAGCACGGCGCAGGCAGGCGCAGGCCCATCGGTGCAGTGCAGCGATGCAGCCCCCTCCCCCTCCCCCCGGCGTCGGTCCGAGCGAAATGGCCAATAAACTACTCGTCGAGTCCTCGGCCGCATCCGGACAAGTCAAACATTTGCTCGACTCGCTCTCTCAAGGCCTACCCCTCTTCGAAAAAAAAAGCCCGCACAAAAAACTCCTTTTTCCAAGTTTTGGCGCTTGCCTTATCGTAGCCAGCCGCACGCGGAAATTAGAAGGCGGAGCGAACGCGCCATTCGGAGAAGGCGGAGGGGCGGCCGGTGGATGATCGGCAAGTCAAAAAGCAATAACCGCGGAGGATTCGCGCGGCGAGCGGCCCGCGCGACGAGGGCGGCCCACTGTGCGGCCTCCCCCAGGTCACCCCTGCAGGTGCGGACGGTTGTCCCGCCCAGTCGCCGCGGCTAGTGAGAAAGAGAGCGACGCCCTGCTGGCTGCCAGCTCGGGCTGCCGGCCAACTTTCAATCACTCCCCCCCCCAAAAAAAAAGCGGCCAAAGCGGGGCTGGCGGAGCTGGCAGCCACTACTTACCGTGAAGCGGCGACACCACACGGCCAGCCACTTGATGTCCTTGATCTTCTTGCCGGCGGGTAGTTTGAGGAACAGGTTGGTCTTGTTGTGTGCCTTGAGCACGGGAGGGTCTCTGCCGAAACAAAAACAGACCAGCCCTTGAGGATTCGGGTGGGTACACAAAACAATACTATAGTTTGGGAAGCGCGCTTCTCTATGATAGTTGCTTTTCAGTCCGGCCGATACACAAGTTTTCTCCGTTTGCTGGTTCGACTTGTCACCCCTTTAGCAAAACTGCCCCCCTCCCCCTCTTCCAGTGTCGTTCCAGCGGCTCCGGCAGCTAGTCGCGGCAGCAAAGCCGATTACCCCGCGGGAACGGCAGCAAAGTGGAGAGGGGGGGGGGTGCTTGCGGACCACGCGGCCGTGTTGTTTTCCCCCGGGGGCTGGATTCAAATGGGGCCGCCAAAATCAATCCTTTCCTTTCCCTTTCTTTCCTGTCGGCCTCGGACTCACCTTCCTTTAAAGTCTTCGGGGTACGGAATCAGGTCTCCGTCTGGGGAGGGTCTCGGTGTCTTGTTGCCCACCCAGAAGAAGGCGTCTGCAGCGAAAAACAATCAATTAAAACAAATAAAGAAAAGTTGCCGGTTTCGTGCGCGTCAGAACGATTAAGGTGAGACGAGGTAAACGCACCGGGCGCCGTGCCGTCGTACGAAAACTTCTCGATGAAGATGATGTTCTCGTCCACCGCGAACGCCGTCCCCTCAATGCCGTGGGCGTAGCTGGCCAGGGTGCCGATGTACTTGCCGTAGTACGGCTTGCGGGAGTTGCTTCCTCGTGCGTCCGAGCCTGCAACAACAACAACACATTATTTAAAGCCAACAACAACAACGAGCAGAAAAAAGTACGAGGCAGTGTAGGAACCGCCTTTTTGAATGCGGTTCGCGGCAAAGGGTTCCGGGCGCGCGGTAAACGCCGCGTGGCTGTGATCACCTGAAAATCAATGCCCCTCCCCTCCGCGTCCGGCCAGCCACGCACTGCCTGGCTTCAATTTCACGTCGCACAATGCGACTGTTACTCGGCCCGCCGGGGGATTACGCTTAACAAATAGCCGGCCGTGTGGAGGCCGTGGCCGCGGCCGTGGCCGTGCAGGGAGGGAAGGGGAGGCCGACGGGCCGCCGAGGCCGCGCGTATACTCCGTGCGTAATCCCGTCACAACATTCCTTACAACGTCTGCAGATTATCTAGGATCTGCTGACTACGCCCTGCCTCGCCGGGGAAGCTGCCTCCCCCTCCTCCCCGCCCGCGCGCCAGTCGGGCCCCCTCCGGGGCAGGGGGAGGGGGGGATGGCGACAAGAGAGGGGCGGAGCGGGGCGGAGTAGCAATGAGGGGCCCTTGTCAACACGCGGCCCTTTAGGGGCCTTGACGGCGTGGGCCTCCAGGCGCCTCCGGGCCACGCGCGTCCACCAGCGCCACGCAGCGACGCACCCCCAGTAACTTCGTTCTTTCAGTGTCTGTGTGTGTGTGTGTGTGTTAGTGTGTGTGTGTGTTGGTGTGTGTGTGTGTGTGTGTGTGTGTGTGTTGGTGTTAGCGCCTGCAGCGGCCTAGAGTCTAGAGGCAGAGAGCCCCGCGCCGCCCCGCACTCTCGCGTGCTCCTGGAGGAGACCGTGGAGTTTACGAACACTAACGCCGCGCAGCACCGCGTCAAGGAAGCAGCAGCACCAAGTTTTCTTCGCTTGACTTGCCTTTGTCGCGGAAACGCGCCGCCGTCGCCGTCTCTCGTCTCTAGGCCGCTCTCCGCGCCCGGAAACCCGCCCCTCTGTCTCCGTCGCACTCGCAGGACGCCCCCCGTGCGCGCGTGCGCGTGGGAGAGAGACAGACGAGACTCTTCGGAATCGGTCGGCTGGCGGCCGAGACAAAGCGGCTGAGTCGGCGCAACGTGCGTCCCCCGGACTCCGCGCTCCCCCAGCCAGCCAGCCAGCCAGCCAGCCGCCCGGCCCGTTTAAAAATTATTAATGGATTGGATTAGAGTGTGGTGGAGCCGACGACGGCCTTTGAGGCGAAATCAAGTCAAAACCGACCGAGTTTCTAATGGCGAGGACTTGCCGGGGGCCCTAGCGCGCCGACACACACACACACACACACACACACACACACACACACACACACACACACACACACACAGAGGCCCAAGTGGTGGGCTCGCCCGCTGGCCACTACGCCCCGCCCCGCCGACGCGGCGCACAACAGCAGAGCTCTTTGCCTGCAAATTGATTCACCCCCGACTAGTGCAGAATGCCGAGCGTGATGGAGCCATTGGATAAAGTGTTAGGGAGGGAGGGCAGCCCCTCCCCTCCCTCCCCTCCCTCCCCTCCCCGCCGACCCTAACGCGCGGCAGCCAGCCAGGCATAATGAACACAACCATCCTCGCAATGCCTTTTTCATCAAGTGCTCTCCCTTCATCGAGTGCTCGGCGGCGCCTCCCCGCGCCCGGCCCGGCAGCAGCCCCGGCCTCGCCTTCACAAACACGCTGGTTGTTTAGGGATGCCATTCGATTCCCCTTCTTAGACGACTTTTAAACGAATTTTCGGCGCGTGGACCAGAAGTAGATATTTTCCGGCGGCAGCGCTGGGCGGCTCGGTCGGCGAGGACGCCGACGACGAGGACGCCACCGCGACGAGCGCCACCAAGCTGCACGCACACGTGGTCGTTGATGGCGACGGAATAATTCGCGGTGGCGAGGCATCAATCCTGGTGTATCCCCGCGGGACCAGGAGGGTGGTGTCGGCGGGACGGAGCCGGTGGCGGATCGGCGGCACGGCGGCGAGGGAGGGTGGGCGGCCTCGGCGGCGGCAGCGCCCCACCGCGTCAGCAGCTCATCACGGTCGTGATCACGACCGCACGCTGCTGGTCAGGGCGGCTCATTCCCTGCTGTCTCTCGCGCACCGTCGCGGCACGCCTCAACTGCGACAGACTGACGAAACTTCCTTCGCTTTTTCCGGATCCTCTGCTTCTCGACAGGCGTGCCATCCTTCGCGCGGCCCTGGGCAGCCTTCAACCGGACACACGGAGGCGGAACAGGGAGAGGCTCGTGGATTGAGACGTCGCGACGCGTCGCGAGGACCCTAACGAGGCCGCGCACGGCGAGCACGGCTCGTGGCAAGCACGGCAGCACGGCAAGCACGGCCAACGGGGCGCTAATGACATAATCTCCGTTATCGCAGATCGCCGCTCCACCAGTCAACCCCCACCCCACCCCGCTCCCCTCTCGCCGCGCACCCCTCACTCCATTGCCGCGAGCGCGGCCAGCCCGGCGGCCAGCCCGGCCACAGAGGCGGGCAGGCAGGCAGGCAGGCAGGCAGATCGCACACCCCTTCGCTCCACGCTCTCCGCAGCAGCCTCGGCGCCGAGCCGCGCGCCGCGCACCACCGCAGCGCACTTCATTACCACGCCGAGGGTGCAGTCTTCGGGACGGCAAGACGGCGCGCCGCAGCAGACTGACTTCGTGCTTCAATTCTCTGTCTCTCTCGCACCGGTGCGAATCCCCCCTTGCGTGCGAGTCAGAACGAGCAGCACTCGAAGACCGGCCCTTCGGAGTCCGAAAAGTGAACAAGTTTGAAGACGGCAGGGACGACCTCATTAACGCGCAACTTTTCGTTTACTCTCGGCTCATAAGTAAAAATCGAAACGGATTTCCTTCTTTCCTCTCGCCGCTGTCTCCGTTTCCGGCGAACGCGTTCGTAATAAGTTCCTGGAGGCGGCAGGCCTGCAGGGTGGCGGGTGGCGTCCCCATCCCCGCTGGCGCCGCCGCCGCCCTGGACTCCGTTGACGAGATGCTAACAAGCGATAGTGGGTGCGACGACGCGCCGTGCGAAACAAGCGCCGCCGTGCCGCCGTGCGCCCCTCCCCTCCCCTCCCCTCCCCGCCACGCCACGCCACGCGAGGACGCCCAAAGAGCGACACGGCCGCCACGCGACCGGCGCGCGCCGCCGCCCCGGGGGAGGGGGATCTCTCCACTACATCAATATCACGGTTTATAACCGGAGGGATGGGAGAGAGAGGGGGGGGGGGTTCGGCACGCGCGCCTTCATATTGGCCGGCCGGACTGTTCATCAAGTCGCTTCCTTTCTCTAATTAAAGGGCGGCCCTCCGTGTTTACAAGGTGGGCAATAAAGTTCCAAACGGAGCGACATCTATCCGCCCTTCGCTCGGCTACGACGGGGAGGCTTCCGTCTGGCACATTCGCCAGTCTAAACATGCTACATGCCTAGTGGTAAAATCAGACTCTAGAAACAAAAGTGTTTTCTGAAAAACATGTACTTTTAATCTCCCTTCTTCGCCGACGTGGTTATCGCTATTTGTTCTAAAGTGGCGTGGCAGCGCGGCAGTTCCGCAGTCCGTCCCGAGGGCTTGGCCGGTGGCTCGGCCGAGGGCGTGTGGCCGGGAGATGAGGACATCATGTCTCGTAATGGGAGTCGCTGGACGCATCTGTTGCTGTCTCCGATTACCAGGCAGTCATTTCCCTTGAGAGCTCGCGGTGGGGCCGAGCCGGGCCGAGTCGGGGGTGCAATATGATGATCATCATGAGCGTGTAGTGGAGGGGCGGAACCGACGGCTGGGGGCGGGGACGCGGGAACAAGTGGTCGCCCTGGGTGGCCGCTGCGGCAGTTTGAGCGGTGCGTCATCCGAGCGGAAATCACTTTGGAATCGAGCCGACAACATTGGAGCTGATTTTCGCAAAGCTGTCAGTTTAATCTTCTCGACTGCCTCAACTTAAAAAAACTGATACTGAAAAACAAAACATTTGCAGCCACGGAAAAGATTTTACAAACACATTAAAAGTCTTAAACGAAGGAAACTTTGGAAGAATACAAGGTTTTAAATCCCGAGTGCTGTGATTGTTTCTGAGTAGTAAGTAATACCCCAGGTCACCCGCCGCCATCTTGAAACCCCAGGTCACCTCGCACCGTCGGACCCCCAGGTCACCTAACCGTTAGGTGACCTGGGGATGCGAGGTGACCTGGGGCGAGGTGACCTGGGGCGAGGTGACCTGGGGTTTCAAGATGGCGGCGGGTGACCTGGGGTATTACTTACTACTTTTCTGTCTTAGCGAAATTGTCTTTCCTTGACGCGAACCGGCACCGAGCGGATGACGTCACCGGAAAAGTATTTAACGCGGAAAAGCCGTTTCTCCTTCCGGTCTGTCCCGGCACGGCAGAGCCGGGCAGAGCCGGGCAGAGCCGCATCAAAGTCAAGTCGACGGGCTGCCGGCGAGTTGAAGGCGTCGCGCCGCGTTTGGAGCGGGCGGAGTGGATCGGGTGGACAGGCAGGCAGCGCGGCCGGCGAGAGCGCGCCCCCGGAGGGGCACCGGACGGGCACCCCGATGAGAATCACTTAGCGCCCCCGCGGCCCGGCCGGCGGGGACACCATGGGGGACACTGCGCAGCGACGCAGCGCCATCAGATAGCACGTCGCCAAGAAGGCCGTGCAGGCCATGGCAGGCAGCGCCGAGGCCAGGCGGTCGCCTCCAACTTAGACTCGGGATAAGCCGGTAATTAATGCCAGCCATCCCCGGCCACGCCGGGCCACGCCCTCCCGGCGATCAGCCGTCCAGGCGGTGGCAAAAAATGACAACAATACCCTCGGACACCGCTTTTCGGAAAGTTTGTTTGATTGGTCGGCCTGGATCGGATGCAAAGGCCTCTCCCGCCAACTTTATGTCCGAAACGCAGCCCCTTGTTGTCCTTGCGGAGAATGCGAGGCGGTGCGAGGCAGTGGCGGAGGGGCAGTGGCAGAGGGCAAGAGGGCGGGCATGGAGGGCCTGGAGGGTGGGCGAGGGCCCCGACGAG